TTACAAACATTTTTAGGGTTAGCTAATTACTACCATGTGTATATACCAAACATACATAAATTAACAGTACCTTTGAATAACTTGTTAAAGAAAGACATTAAATGGGATTGGCCAGATAAATGTCAAAGTGCTTTCGAGGAGATCAAAAAAAGTCCTAACATTGGACTTGTTGCCAGGTTATTTTGACCCTAAATCAGAGACTGTGGCTGCAGAAAATGCAAGTGAGTCAGGTATTGGAGCGGTGATACTAATTCAAGATTGTTAATAGCAGCTGAAAAAAAACTGCAGCCAAAATGTCTATCATATTTGCTACAAAAAGTTTCTCAAGTTTATTCATGTTAAACAATTTACACTACAGTCAGATCATTGTCCATTGTTGTTCATTTATGGATCAAAAAAGGGTGTTCACATGCATACATCAAAAAGACTGCAGCACTGGGGCACTATCTTATTAAACTACAATTATAATATGGAGTTTCAATTATCCAAAAAACTGAGTCATGTGGACAGACTGTCCAGATTAATGCCAAAATTCTGCAAACCACTAGAGGACACAGTAATTGCAGTGATAATGGCTGAAAATGAAATTAAGAATGTATTATATAATACAGTGAAAGAACTGCTTGTAACATTAGAGGAAATAAGAGTTAAAGTGGAAAAAGATGACTTCATAATGAAAATGAAGAAACAACTGAGATTTAAATAAAAATATTACTGTAACAAATTCATTTTCAATGTGTGACAATATACTTATATATGCAGAAAGAATTGTGATACCAGCATCATTGCAAAAGTGTATGCTAGAAGAGTTTCATGTAGGACATCCAAGAATTTCAAGGATGAAATCCTTAATGGGGTGTTATACGTATTAGCAGAAAATGAAGCAAGACGTTGAAAAATTAGTAAAATCATGCAGAGGTTGTGTTCTGGCAGTGAAGTCCCACCTATTAAAAATTTCAGCCTTAGCCAAAATCTGATATTCCATAGTCCAGAATGCACATGGGCTTCGCATGACCATTAAACGGAGTATACTATCTAGTTGTGGTACAGAGTTACACTAAATGGCTAGAAATATTAAAATGTAGAAAACCAACTGCTACATTTGCTATAACTTTCTTTTTGCAAGATTCAGTGTACCCAACACTGTCATTATAGATAACAACACACAATTCACATCTAGTGAATTTGAGGGTTTCTGTAAACCATTAGCAATAGAACACATTACAATGCCCCCTTATCACTCAAGAAGTAACAGACAAGCTGAACGGTTTGTTGATACTTTTAAAAGAGCGCTAAAATAGTCAGAGGGAGAGGAGGCAGATGAAGTAATGTTACAGCAATTTCTGAGGTTTTAAAATAACACTAAACCCAAACACCATGTCTGGAATGTCACCAATGTTCGCCAAGAAGATTAAATCTGTATTTAACAAATTGCTACCAGAACAGAAGGCAAGAAAAGCAAGGAATCGAAGTAATATAAATGAATATTTTAAACCTGGTGATAAAGTGTTTTTAAAATGTACCAATATGGAAAAAAATTTTGGGAAGATAGTGTAATAAAAAAAAACGGATTGGAAAAATGACTGACTTGGTTAGAAGCAACCTGATTCTGATTTAGATTCTTCTTTAGATGAAAAATAATTACTGAAGATAGGTTAAAAATTTTACCAAAGGTTGCCACAAACTGGTCATCTCATGGAGTTTTTGTATGAATTCAATAGAAATCATTCTGTTACAGTTGAAGAAATACCTTATGCCAGCTTTCAGCTTTATTTTGTATTACATTAAATAACGATTTTAGTCTGATTGTATTCTTCAAGGTATTTTCAATATTATGAATTTGTTGGAACTTCAAAGAGTTGTATAGAGTAAAGCAAGTGATTGTCTGAAGGAGGCAGATCTGAAAAATACAGAACACACATATGTCGAAGAACATATTTAAACATGTTTGTATGCTGTGTTTTATTTACAACATGAGGACAGGCATTGTTATACATCAAAATCATCAACTGACTTCTTTGCACAGAAAAATGTCTTTTCTCTATTCTAATGTATCAAACAAACCATTTGCCGTACTACCCAGTAATATTTTTTTCATGTTCTAGCAATTTGTAAGAATTCCCTTTGAATCCTACCAAATGTGAAACCCTCATCCCCCTGCTCAATTTAGGTTGAAATTTTGAAGGATCTCCCAGATCTACTTTTGATTTTCTTGGTTTTGAATTCTCATAATAAATCCATTTTTTCACCATCAGTGACGTTTTTTTTTTCTTGTCTTTGCTGGAAAATACAAAGGCACACTGGTTTGAATACTAACTGATGTTCTTTTCATGTGGAACACAGTTTTCTTGTTCTTGTATGCCTTTCTATTTGAACTAGTATACTAATCTTGGTTGTTATCCTAAATATTTCAATCATTGTAACCTTCAGGCATTTTCAAGTGTCTGTTGGGCTCTGCAAGCTCAGAATTTTGAAACAAACCTTTGATTCAATTCATTGGGGTAAATTGTTCTTATTGTACTTTCTATGCTTGAGGGAAATAACTCATATTAGTTAGTATTCTCCAGTGTATTCACTTTTATGTTGCTTGTCTGTTTCTTCCTCCAAACCAAAGTATATGACTTTTCCATACTACCTAAAGCAGGGATTGAACTCTCAACTGCTAGGCTGTGTGCCTCTTTTCCAATGGTAGAAATTTGGAGCCTTAAACTTAATATTTGTACTTAGGTGGTGGAATTTTGGAATCTCCCTTCTTTCTTAATCAGATGCTCCCAGATGGTGTTTATCTCTATGCTAGGTCTACTGAAGAGGTTGTCAGAGCCTGACATGTACAATAATACTTTCAATTTTCTTATCATTCAGAATTGTTTTCTGTGTATTATCTTTTGTACATTCCACAGTTGATGACCACGCTTTTCTTCCTTACATGATCAACTATGCCTGATTTCTCTTTGGATATTACTCCACTCCTTTTAGGAGACAGAGAGTCTTGACCTTGCATTCCTTGCCAGAACTGCATGGGATGGAACATATGATATACATTTCATATTTTGTTTGCATTTCTTGGTTGTGGACTCTTCTGATCTGAGGCTTAGTTTAAAAGAGATATCTTTGAAGTGTTGAACTGTTTTTAAATACCATCCTGATGTTGTATAGACTATAGAGGTTCTGAATCTTTTCAGATGTACCCTCTATGCAAATTGTGGTAAATCTTTAATTCTTGTTTGCAACAATCTTTTGTTCCTGATTGTAGAGGCTGATGTTATGCTTGCACAGTAGTTGTAACCTTGAAGTGTGTTTATAATGCTGACCATCTCCTGTAGGTATGTATATGAGTCACCACTAAAGAGTTTGACCTGATGTTGTAAAGATAAATGATTCCTTTCTTATACTATGGCAACCTCATAGAAAACAGGACGAATAAAGTATTTGGTTCAACATTTTCAGCAGGTTATCAAGTGAGATGGACACCCAAAGAAAACCATACGACACAGCATCTAAAAAATTGTGAAGGTAGCAACAAAGATGAAGACATTAATCTGACTGTAAATAGTGTGCAAAATATTTTGCTGTGAATTTTTGCATATCTAGTTTTGTTAGATTTTCAACAAACCTCACTTTCACTTTTAATCTATTTGTTGGCCCCATTTCTTTGGTTATTGATTATCTGTTAATTCTCCTGCCTTGACTTTTAACAATAGTTATTACCTACTAACAGCCTGTTCTCAAATTTCAACTCATTAACAGTTTTTAATTTTTTTTTTCTTTTTCAGAAGTATTATTTTTTAACCTGCATTCATAGATTCTTTTTAAGGATGTCTATTAAATTTTGTCTTTTGATTTACATTTTAACACACTGTTTTATATTTTTAATTCCCAAAATCACTTTTTTTATTGGGAGGGAATACTTGGCATATGCAAAAGTTCAGTGAATCCTTGTTTTCAATATCTAGAAACTGAATACACAGTTAAAAAAAAACGGTAATTTAATTACACTTAATAACTTGTTTATCTAACAAAAATTAGTTGATAGTAATATTTTACAAAATAAGTTGCAAAACAGTATTTTCTAATATAGGACATTTTGTTTTCTTAATACAAGGCATGGATTCTTAAAGTAGAAGCAAAAAAATTAATTTTAATTAACATTAACACTACTTGAGACAAAAGGTTAGGAAGGAAACCCCCATCAATAATGGAAAGAGCAGTAAAAGTTAATGGATTTGAGAAATCCATTTTCCTGAAATAATATCTTCATAAAAAGATTTCATAAATTTCAACCAAAAGTAGCACTAGCTGTTTGGTCAAAGAATGACAAATGTTTCCATATAATCTAGCATCTTATATTACAATGACTGTATAACAAGTATATTTTACATTTTTTATGATTATGCAGAACAGATAGAAAAACTGTAGTTAAATGAGTCTCTATTCCTCGGACGTTGTTCATACAATACAAAATACCGCTTGTTCAATCTGCCATTCTTGCGTTCCACACATTTCAGCAATGTAAAAACATTCTGCCTTCTCACTGCTTCACTCTCTTTTATGAGGCCAACAACATGGCCGACCAACCAATCAGTGTTCTTCGCATTTGTTCTCAGTTACCCAAGAAAATAGCCTCCTCCAGTCTGACCAATCAGCATACAACTTGCTATTGGTCAAACCATGCTAAACTGTACAAAAAAAAAAAACATTATAGCACATACTGTTGAAATAGGTAAACTGGAGAGTAATGCTATTTTCAAGGAGCCAAATGCCAATGCCATGTGCCGCATGTTGACGTAAGATACTTATTTTCCTTTGCACCAGATGCAAGTCACTCTGGCTTGCTTGCTTCTATGTGACTTTTTATCACAAAAACAAATAAATGATTTGATGCAAATAATAAGAAAAAGAATTCTACTTTTTCTTTTTCTTTATGAAAAGGTTGACCTAGCTGTGGGGGGTGATAGTGGGGACAAGATCCCACTCTCTTAAAAATGTTTCTATGTCATGCTGTTGAAACACTAGTTCCATATGAACACCAAAGTTAAGCAACATCAAGCCTGGCCAGTACCTAGATGGGTAGCCACTTGGGAATATCAGGTGCTAGTATGCACTGGTAGTGTAAGGGATAATGGCTCAGAATTATTAACTGGAGAGGCGAGTTCCAATTCCAGGTGGGTTTGTTATCTTCACATGAATAAATACCCTGGGGAAAGGTATGAATCCACCTCTTCTCTCCCCAGCTATGGGTTAATTAGTAAGACTTGTATCACTAGATCATTATTAACGCCAAAAAAATTCTTACGATCTAAAAGTATTTTCTGGCTGCAAAGGGTTGATAACCCATAGAAAAGGAATCCATCTGTGGCATGTCTCAAATAGACTTTGACAACTAAGTCCAGCTATAAGCTGGAGAATAGGTGAAGACAGACAACTGGCACCTCATTCATAATTAGCTGCTTCAGGTAGATGGAGCTTGTCAGCCCAAAAAGGCAATCCATCTAGGAGAAAGAAAACCCTAATTCAAAATAACCTCTACTGTCTTGCAGTTATATCCCAAAATTGAAAAGTCTATAGAAGTACATCCAGACAGAAAACTCTTTTGAGTTGGCTGTCAAGACTGACAACTTTCCAGCAACCTCTGCAGTCAAGCCATCTCCCAAAAGAAATACCCTGTATTCCTTTGGATCTTGTCTGTATGGCCAAGAGGTGGGGGAGGCATGTAATCTGGGCAGCGCACGGCCTTCATATACCATCGCCCAAGCCTGTGCTATGGAAAGATCATTCCAGTTCCACCACCAAAGGATTGAATTTTGAACAAACAGGGTGCTACCTTTTATCTCTTGATGCCTACTACTATTCTTTATAAATAAATGTCAAAGTACGTATAGCAGATTATAAAGATTAAAATTAGAATGTCTGCAATAAAAATGTTCCTGTTTTGTTGATTCATTTTAGCACAAACTACCATCTTTTTAATAATAATGTGTTTTTTTTTTTTTTTTGGAAGTATATATAAAAATTCTTACCAATGAAAACTTAGGAAAAAAAACTATTTGTGTATATTTTTTGTATGTTTGGTTAAAGAGATTGGGGAGAATGGATAAAAGGATAAAAGGCACAAAGTAAAAAAAAAAAAAAAAAAAATGACAAGAGATACTCAGTGAGATATAAAACCAAAACAATTTTATTAAAATAAAAGAAAATTTTACTAAATATTAGAGATGCACAAATTTGGTGATTTGTGTGACCATAAAAGGGGATAATAAATTTCTGGACAAGTAACTTATTTTTTCCAAAATAAAGCTCAATGGTACTTGTGAGAAAAAGATCAAGTTTACAATAAAAATGGCATTTAATATCACAAGAAAAATGTCAGCATATACAAAACAATGCAAATTACAAGGAAGAAAGTACAATAAGAGAGTTTTAGTGAGGTCAAACTCAGTTAAAAAGGTATATTTATTTTGAAGGTATAAAATGTGAATGTTCTTAATAGTTTTTGTGATTTGATGTGAGTTGTCAAAGTTCATGACAGAATCCGTTCATACCTTCAGTCTTCAACATAGTGTTGTTTTGAAAATAGTACTTGTTCTCTGATGGGGAAACAATTATTTCATTACAATAGTTGGGGTAAAAACAAAATTTAATTCTGTCATGAAAACAACAATTTGGTTGTTAAAACTTTGTTGAAGAGAGGTCTTGCAACTACTTCTTTGAGTCTATACTTGGTCAGGTCTTCTGATGTTTTGGAAGGTATTGAATCTTCCACTCATCAGCGATGGACGTATTGCAGGGATTTTTATAGCTAAAGGTCAGCTCTGATTTACCAAAACAATTTTTAGCAGTCAACACAAACATTTCAGATTTCAACCGACTCAAGTAGCCATTTGTTAAAAAATCACATTTATCAAAACAATTTAGAAAAAACGTTTTAGTTTTTCTTTCCCTTTCTTAATTAAATTCTTCATAATTTTGCCTATAATTATTGTTTATTGCATTTTCTTTATTAGTTCTTTTTCTTTTCAAAAACAAATTTATACTTTTACAGAGACTATATATTTTTCACTCAATGAAATTGGTTTCTAAGAGAAGGGTAATTTTTTTTCTATGTGTAACTCTAGAAAAAGAATAATTATTTTATTAATGAAATAAATTTTAAATTTTAAAATCTTCCTATCTTTATGATCAAAAACATTCTCATTTTTATTGCATATGCAAAAACAAAGTATTTAAAAAAATGAAATTAAATTCTGAAAGGACTACTTTCAGTTCATTTCATTCAACAATTTATGTTTCATGTTCAAAATGGATGTAAGAATATTATATTAAGGTTATTGATATATTCCTTTTATCTGATAATCAAAATGTCCATTCTATCACTAAGTTTAACTTGATATCTTTGGATATTGTGGATGTCTTATAAATGTCTTTCTAATATTATTGTTCTGTAAAGATTCAATCTTTACAGAATAATATTAAATCTATACAGAATAGTATATTAAAATATATTATTGTGTGTGTGTGTAATATACTGTATTTTATAAATTCAATCTCTGGCGAAGGTGATATTTGCCAAAAAGAATAGCTAAGAGAGTGCCCAATACAACTTTCAAAAATGAAAATGTAAGGCAATTTAAGATATAAAATATTTGAAACGCCAACCTTTATGCTATCACAGTATTGAGAAACCATGGTAGCATAAAGGTCAATGTTTCAAATTTTATATATATATATATATATATATATATATATATATAATTTTATTTTTATCTTTTTTATTTGCAATAAATTTCACTTCCCTGGGTGTCACTTGAGGTAGAGGGTTATGTTAAGGAGTAGTTTATATGGATAGGAAGAAGAAGATAACTCTAGACTTGAACAGGTTAAAATTGTAGTGATCAGGGAAACCTCCTCTTGGAAGTCTGTTCCACAGAGCAGTGGTTTGTGGGAAGAAGCTGTTTGAGTGGAACTAAGTTCTCGCTGATGGAATACAGAAGGAATGTGGTTGGTTTGCTACTATGTAAGTGGCATGGTGGGTCCTATCTGTGAAGGTTAGACCTGTTGGCTACTGTATATATATTTGTTGAATCAAGACTATTCTGTGATGTCATTTCTATTAAGCTGAAAGCCAAGCTGTAGAAATGGATAGGTACAGGTAGTTGGGTGATATCAAAAAGTGTGTGATTTTAAAAAGCTAATTTAAAGTTGTGAATGGAACATGCTCGATGACAGGTGTTAGAATTCAAATAATCCAAATTTACTATAGTATCAATCTGATACCAATACAGGTGCAACTTAAATAGACTGGTCCACTTGTAAAAAAAAAAAATATATAGAAAAGTTTTTGTGTAAATAATTTTTGTACATTAGCTTTCTTTATACTTTCCTTACGCCATGACACTGTATCAATATTATAAGCAGGACCCCCCCTTCTAAATTGATTTAAAAAAAAAAAAAAAAAAAATTATTTCCAAAACTTTTTTCCTATTTTTTAGAAGTCGACCAGTTGATTTAAGTAGTGCCCCAATACATTCACAGGCACACAAGTTGTCTCCAGTCCATACGGAGAACTGTTTATTATAATCTTATCTACACACACAACATTTGTCATCTACAAGAACTAAAGGTTGGATATATAACAATAGTTTGTCATGATTTCTTTCTGTTGACAATATAGTTATGACCAACTTAAACACAAATTCATATACCTTTCTTTTTAACTATTACTGACCATAAATAAGATATTTAACATAAAAAAAAAAGCATTTGCATTTAATTAAATGCCTGGTATAATAAAACAAGGGAGACAAGTAAGTTTTTTAATTTTTATTTTTCTGAAATAATTTCTCATCACAAACTTCATGCCATCATCTTTCCTTCTTCAATATGTGATTAAGTACACCTGTGTATATTTACAATTTCTCTTAAACTAATATCTTTTGTCTTTTTTTTTTCACAGAATATAACTATACATGCTTTAGACTTATCAAAACCAGCAGATGTTTACAAGTGGGCCAAAAATTTTGCTGAATCAAGTCATAAATTAGATGTTCTTGTAAGTATTGACAATTATCAGTGTTTGTATTTTTGTTTGACAAATGAGATTGTTTAACCTTATTCTATATGAAATATATTTAATTTTTTAAGCCAACATTCTACTTTTTACTCTTTATAACAGTTTCAGCACATTTCATTATTTTAATCTTGATGAAAACAACATGGAGGAATCAAATAATGTTATCAAATCTTCATTAGCTGAAGTGCATGAGACCATTCCAAGAAGACCTAGAAAGAAAAAGATTCTCTTGTACAATGACAATCCTGAGCTAAAAAAAAGAAACGGAAGAAGAAAAATGGAATGGAAAATACTAAGCAATTAACAAAGAAAATTAAAAAAACTATTTAATATTCTTAGAAACCAATATCAGGAATTGGAAGCACATTTTACAATTGAAATAGCTTGACGTAACAATAAGTTCTATACTAAGACTTTCTTCTTTCACACTTCTCACTTGTGAAATTTTTTTATGGCCTGTTGCTTTTCAGTCAACATTAATCTTCAAAAATTTAAATGCAATTTCAATCGTTATCTTCTGTCTTCTTAATTCCTGTTTTTTTATTATTATCTCCTTAATAATGTTTTTCTTTTTCTCATATTCTTTCACACTCAGTAGCCCCTTGCATCTTCATAGCTTTGCTTGAGGTGAAATGATTAAAAAATATATATTCTCAATTTCTAATTTTATGCCAGTAGGCAAAAGGAAAAACTCCTATTCTGCAATCAAAAGGGAAATACTTGGTTATGTCATATAAGATTCCTAAGTCAAATTAGACAGAAGCTCTTGGTGAAGTTTCAAATGTTTCTATATAGAGGGCTTGCCAGACATGTTAAATTTTGTGAACCTATAAAGTTCCTCTGTTAGATTGATGCATTCTGCAGATTTGCAATTCTGAAAGTGGTTTCTAATGGATGAGAAGAAAAGTATCTATCGATGTGCTCATACACTGAGGTTGGCATAGCAGGTATACAATTTCCTGGAGTTGTTTGATGATGTATGTGCTATCATTACATCCCTTCCCAGGAGGAAAACCAAACTGAGTTGTGAGAAGTTGACTTTCATAAAACAAAATTCTAGTTAATGTTCATTAATATTTTCACCTCAATGAATCCATTTGAGATACCTCTGTATGTATGATGCTCTTGAGGGCAACTATTTTGTTTCCATAGTGCATTAATGCATGATATACTCCACTTTTTGTGTGGTGCATTTCTGATTCTAAACTTCCTTCATAAAATTGAGAAAGTAAGTTTTTTAATTACTCTTTTTCTGTGCTGTGATGGAGTAAGAGTGTTTATGTGTCTTCCTTATATAGTCTATAATAGAACATCCCCTATAAGGCCAACAAGGTGGAGATAATCCCCATAATTTATTAACTAAAAGGACTGTAACAAGAGTATTCAACAAATAAGAAGGTAAGCAATGAACTTTCACACAAACCTATATTCCTTTGAAATAAGTATATGTAAGAGTCAATGTTTTGAGTGAAAGATTCAATATCAATGTTGTTTTTTATCTTTATTTAGAAAAAGATGCAAATAATTAAAAAACTGAAAAAGAAATTATTAAAAAAAAACAAGGATGTCTACTCCCGCACATGTACCCAGTGAATATAATCTTTTATTGAAAGATTTCCACAGAGGTACAAAATTTTATTAGAGTAATAAAAACAGGCATATTAAATGGACATTCATAACAAAAAAGAAGGGGGTAACAAAAAATATGTTACCATAAATTGGTAATAACAGAATAATAATGATTAAAAAGAGGACAACGAATGTTACTGAGAGAAAAAACAAGAACAAAATCTATTCCATACCTGAGGATGTCTGTATGAAAAGACGAAAGCTTGTAAAAATAATAAGAACTCATGCAACAGAAATTTATAGAAACAAGGATCTTTTCATTCATAAACAGGTTCGGGGTTTTTGTATATTATTTGAATTGTTCACGACGATGAATTTCTTGCCAATTAAATCATTAACCTTTGTATTTGTTTTTTGTATGAATAATTCATGAATATATATATATATATATATATATATATGATTGAAATCGCCTGAAGATAATGAAAGGTTGAAACCAAGGTAGCAGAATGTGCTGATCTCATAATTTTTTATAATTAAAAGTTATACACATTAAACTTTTATCTTTTTATATGTGTATTGACCACTTTTTAAGACTATTGTTTCCTGGTCTAATTCAACTCTGACCATTTAACTTTTTATTATTTTATATATAAAAGTGGACATTGAGGTCAACACCCAGTGGAGACAGTCTGTTTCATGCTTAAACACAATCTTCAGAACAATTGCATTTATACATGAAACAGACTGTCACCACTGGGTGTTGACCTTGATATCCACTTTTATATTTACAGGATCTCTATCTCTGATATTGAACACCTTAACCCCAAATTATAGCATACCTTAAAACTAGAGTTTTATCATATATATATATATATATATATATATATATATATAAAAAAAGATTTTTATGTTTATACATTCTTTTTATAAATACAAATATTTAAGTAAATGCTCTGTTTTATAATAAACAGTATTAATAACATTTACCGGCCTGAATATCCGAGAAATTTTCATAGAAAATATTTGTCCTCCAACAGGAATCAAACCATAACCGATTGAGCCACATAGGATCATTCGATTAGCAAGGTCAATTTTACTGCTTTTAAACTTCAATCTTCCATGAATTTCTCACATACATTCATATCTGCTCAAAGCATATCCAAATGTAAGCAAATGATGACACACATTATGAAATGGACAAAGTTTATACATTCTTTTTATAGATACAAATATTTAAGTAAATTAAAAAAATCATAGAGCACGTCAGGCTATATGACAGTTCTGTATAGGATACAGGTTCAATTCCTGTCGGAGGACAAATATTTTCTATGAAAATTTCTCAGACATTCAGGCCGGTAAATGTTATTAATACTGTTTATTATAAAACAGAGCATTTACTTAAATATTTGTATCTATAAAAAGAATGTATAAACATAAATATGCCTTAAAATAATTGTCGGACTTTGTTCATTTCATAATATATATATATATATATATATATATATATAAAGAAAGAGATATATTTTACTATAACCTTAATTATTTTTCAGATTAATAATGCTGGTGCTATGTTGAATGTAAAAACTGTTACTCTGGATAGTCTGGATGCTGGTTTTGCTGCAAACACTCTCGGTATGTAAAGACATTTTTTTTACTATTTCATGCAAAAAGGTGCAATGGTTGACAATTTTATCTCCCAGATAAATTTGTTTGTCTATTTCAATGTTCGTTGTGTTCTTCGTTCTATGTGCTACATTAAATATTTATTGGAAAAGAGGATATCATGTGTGAGTAAGAATATTTCGTAGTCTGACGGAGACATTATTCCTGAATTGAATTACAATGTCCTTGGTTTGTGTGTGGGCATGTGTGTTTATTCACCCCCAATGATAATTTGTATTAGCTTATAGCCCAACATGGATCCCAACACATTGTCTCTCATGACTTTCCCAAAGTTGCAAAAGTAGATGATTTTCTCTTATATGATTTAATAAGATGCTGGTAAAAGATGAAGAATTATGTTGTCTATGGTTGATATTATATTCAGCCTCAAAAATCATGTTTTGTACTTTTTGCTGTATTATCCTTATTAAAAAGCTTAGAACAATTATTTCTTCACTTGGAAAGGATATGAATAATGTAGACAAGTAGCAAGCCTGGCATTAATTGTAATTACACTTATCTAAAAGAAAATCAATAGTTACTATTAGCCAGCAAATAATGTTTATTGATGTCATCAGTTAATGCAATATCTAATTAGACAACAAAAATCAATATTGGTAACAAGCCTTGCAATATTTGATTGCTTTTATAAGATTGTTTGGTATGCAAATTTGTAGTATAAATAAAAAGTTTTTCAATGGAATTTGTGGGGATCAATTGCCCTCACTAATTTATATTAGACACAATGCCACAAAATAACAAGAAAAAGAAACAAGAAAATCCAGATAAGAAAAATTGTACAAGTAGATTTTTATTTAACCAATGTACAAAACAATAATTCGGAATGTTGCTTAAAATGGTGAAATAAACTTGTCTTTTTAGATTTTTGTGTGAGGTAATGTTCCACTTTGATAGACTCCAAGTTGTAAGGTAATTTGTGTGAATTTGGAAAAATTCAGTTCAATATAATATTGTTTGTATTCAAAATAAACAGTTCAAAGTTTGTGGAAAAAGCATGTGTGGGTGTCACTTGTGTTTGATTTTTGAGTGTCTGTTGCTTCATTGTTTGCCGATGTGAGTTTAGTTTGCATTGAATGAAGGAAATAGACTGTGGTTATGTTAAAAAGGATTTTGAACTTATAGTCTGGACTTCAGTTGAAAGTTATTTTGTAATGAGTGTCATCACGTAGCATGTAGCTTTTTCAGCTGATTTTTCTCCCACCTCTGTTTCTTAATTGCTTGTTGTTTATATAAGCAATATATGTCACATGAGAGGCTCCAGAAAATTAAGGTCAGATGTGCAGATGTAGTCAACAACATGGCATGTGACATTTTTGAACCAATCAAATTACGTTAGTTGTGGAATTTAATTTGGAGCCCATGTTTGTTTAATTTTTGAAGTTTTGAGAACAATATAGGATCTGGATCCTATAAATTTTTTAAAATGTCTTCAGAATAATTAACCCTTTTTTGATCCTATCATGAATGATCATTTGTACAAAGTTAATAATGCAGAAACAATGGATCTTTCCTAAGGAAAAGTTATCCAAAATAAGTTTATACAGCTTCTAGCTGGTGCCATCAAGTAGAAAATATTAACAAATTCAAATTCAGCTAAATACTATTCAATCATTTTGAACTGCATACCTGACGTTAATTATATTGAACAAGTGAAAATGATTGTATATTTTATTAACCTTATCAAAACATCAGGTAATGTGATGCCCAAACCTAAAGTTATCCTAAGAGAACACATCCTGGGTAAGACGATAAACTACGTCCAGCAGCAAGGCCTCTGCTCAGGAGGTTTTGAGGAGCATGGAACCACCTCTTAATAGCTGGTGTTCCCAGGTCCACCCTGACCTGGGGTAGTAGCACCTGTTACAGTCCCAGCTTTTGGCAAATAGTTAACACTCAAACTTGTGTAAAAATAGGTTTTAATACCATAAATACTTTGTAATAAAAAAAATTATTACCAGCAATAATTTTTAAAGGAAAAATTATTATCAGCAATACAAATAGCTATATATTCTTTGGAAAAAATGTGACCATCTATAGATTTTCTCAAGGAAAAATATTCCCAGAAATAGATTTTAGAAGAAAAACATTACCAGCAATAAAAAATTTTGTCTGGATTAAATAAGCCAGTGAGGTTGATATGCCATAAAGCAAACCAAACCAAACCTAAGAGAACATTTCCTGGGAATCATTTCACTAAATCAGAAGTGTCAACTGTCTTGGATTATCTTTTTGCAGCTTATGAGGTATCATTTTCTTATCCAATAATTCCCTCAAATTTTAATAAGTTTAATAAATTATTCTCTCACTTTTTCCATGCTTCTACAGTAGCAGTATTGAACTTGACTTACCTACCATATGCAAACAGTCAATCATATTTATGGTCAGCAGGGCCTGTTCTAGTTGCTCTTCAGGGAAGGGAAGAAAATTTGACCCCCTGGTCATCACTTGTTTTTCATCAGCTACCTGACAAGAGGGTAAAAATGTACTTTGCAACTGTCTGTTTGTTTGTTTTTAAATTTTATAAGAAATAAAATTGACAACTTATATTAGGGAAAGTGGAAATAAGTATCTAGTTTTTATACATATTTAAAAAAAAAACTGTCTTGATAAGAAAACTAGTGAAATGTATAATGATTGCAAATTGTTTCAGGAGGTTCTTAGGGACAAGTGAGATGTGATACAACTCAAACAAGGGGAAATAGAAAGTTTGTTTTTTTTTTCATAAGGAGAGAGAATAAATTTGGTTACTCAAATTGGTGGTGGGGTTGTAGCTGAAGTGATAGTTTCACACAAAAGAAAAAGAGGATTTTTCATAGTGAGAGAAGGAATAGATTTGATAACATATTTGGGTGGAAGGGGTACACAAGGGGACAGATAATCACCATGTACAACAGAAAGTCAGGGTTTTTTTGGGTTTTTTTTCATAACGAGAGAAGGAATACATTTGATTCTATATTAAACTAGCTGAAATAACTGCACCTAGCTGCATGTCACACATTTTTTTGTAAGAAAATGATAATTGATTTTAAATCATTGTTATAATTTATTGAGAAAAATGATGCATTGCTCAATGATCTTGCTGATGTGACCTCCATCTTCTGGGTTTCCCCTATATTTTGGATAGAAATCATTTAATTGTTCAAATTTAAATTTAATTTAAATCAAAGGGGAAAAAAATGTTCACTGCGGAGGTATGCAAAAACAACTTGATCTGACCCCTTTGATATGTATTTGATGCCATATTTGATTAAACTGATGAGCAGATTTCAACATTGATATAACAGTTGAATTGTCATAACAAATATGTATTGTAAGGCACTATCAATTGATTGGTGATTTCTTGCTCAACTTGACATCCATATTGTCTCATTTTGATCTTGCCAATGTGACCTCCATCTTCTGGTTTTCTCCTTCTATATTTTGGATAGGAGTCATTCTCTTGTTCAAATTTAAACTTAATTTAAATCAAAGCAAAAAAAAAAATTCAGTGTGTGGGTGTGCTCCCTGGGGACTGCCCTTTGATCAAAATGAAATATACTTACTTATCCAAGTACCCTAGGAGTCATTCCCTTGCTCAAATTTTAATTTATATTAAAGCGGGGGAAAAACATTGTAGTGTTTGGCTTTTGATCAAAATGAAATATAGTTATCCAAGTATCCTGTGTAATATAGTTTCAAAATTTGTAGGCTTATGGGGGTCTCTCCAAAACCCTAGGATGTGTTTGATAACAAAGAAACAAAGGTTACAACTTTTTCCTTTTTTTTTTTTTTTTTTAAATATTGTCTACGTAGAAGACATATTTTGGGTTTAGTGACTTGTTTAAATATTGTGTTTTCTATGTATTCATCACTTCATTTGATATATATATATATATATATATATATAATACTGTATACCACAAAATTCCGAAGTGTTGGTACAACTAACAGCCTGCCAGGTGACCAAAAGAAAACTCAAAGAAAAATTACTAACAAAAAACAGGAAAATAAACAAACTAAGAAAAAAAAGAACAAAAGGCAGAATCCTACCTAAACAGTAACCAAAAGTGCTCAATGCCTATGTTATAAAGACAGACCAAAAATGTTTCAAGCTCCTGCACTTTTCAGGTGTGTGTATATATAAACAAAGACCCATCTTTAAAAGTTTTTAAATTTTCATAGACTTTTGTGTAATACTTATGAAAAGTTACAATATTGTTTAAAAATTTCAATATTATGTGGCTCCTACCTTTTACCATTACAAGAATACCATTTAACATTATAGTTTACACTTTTGTAAAATTCACACTACTCATAGTGTTACAGGAATATACTATTCATAAAAATAAATTCAAATCAATATTGAAAATCTTTTGAAATGTAATAAGGTTGGAAGGTCCTAATGATAGGTTTGTAGATATTTATACCAGATGGTTTATGGGAATTTTACAAACTCATACCATCTGAACTGAATGTTTTCTCTGGTAGTAATTTATTTTCCTCTAAAGTAAATAGCTTCTGAATTACAACCAATGTTTATTTTATAGAGAAATAATTTTAGAAAGTAGTTGCACTTTTCTTTGATATATACACACAGCCTTGTGCAAATTAATTGAAACAACCACATTAGTTTCTTTTTTTTTTTTTTTTCATGATACAGTCAGTTTTAGACCCACTGGAGTGACAGGATGTAATTGATTTCTATTTTTCCTCAGATTAGGTCATTTGCAGTGGTGTGCAATAATATGAATCTATTTTCAGGGTATATGATGAAATTTGTTTGGCCTTGAAAAATATTGTGTCATCTGAGATTGCATAAGATTTTCATTACACCCAGATACTATTGTCTCGACTGTCGATTAGTTGTCCTATGACTATTGTCTGTTATCGATGTTACTCCAAGGAAGTATATGAAAATTGTAATGCAGCATGAACATAATGGAAATCCTTACCAGTGAGCAAATCAAAGTACTATCGACTGGCTCAGAAACTCTCTTGATTTAAATCCAATCAAAAATCTGTGGTCAATCTGTAAGGAAAGACTTTGTGGAATGGACATACGAACTACTAACATGTGCACTGGGTCATGTTTCATTGGAGAAATATGAAAAAAAGTAAATAATAATGGAATTATTCATTTTATTTCAATTAATTTGCACAAGGGTGAATGTGTGTGTGTGTGTGTGTGTGTATATATATATATATATATATATATATATATAATTAGAAATATTAGATATTCACTCTGGCATCCAGTGTAAAATATATATGGTTGTTCCTTGTCACGGTAGAGGGCTGCGTGTTCGAGTGATCCCAAGAGCAAAGGTGTCTGGAGTTCCAACTCCTGTAGGACCACCAATGGCAATAAAGTAAAAGATTAGTGATCAGTCTAAATGTACTGAACTCCTGAAGACCACAATGACAGAATCGACAAAGATCTACACAATCTCAATGGACAAACCAGCAAAAGAGAGCATCACCAGTCAGGTTGGCATGACCAAAGTGTAACTTGATAGATCAATCATCCGGCAGCCCGATGCAACCAGGTTTGCCAGATCTTGCTTGTCTCAATCCCCTTTGAGGTGTGAGGGAGGTGCTTCTAACCAAATGTGTGGGCTTCTCCGTCACGCAAAGTTGTCCACCAAAATCGAGTTCATGTGCACAGCTTTGTCAAACTCTTTGATTCACAGCCATCTCTGCCACCAGTGAAAGAAAGAAAATAGGAAGAGAGGTTTGCGATCCCAATGCTTGGATGTGATTGGGTGCCAACAATATATATATATATATATATATATATATATATATATAATGTAATGATGTTTTTATTATAATAAATTACAAAAGAAAATATTTTACATAGCTATACAAAAACTTTCATATTTTGGTACTAAGATTGTACCTCATCAGGTGATGGTAGATAATTAATGGTAATATGATTTTCCGGGAAATTTAAAACAAATCTTTACTTCTTTTCATAATTAGGGGGGGGAATAAGGTCAAAGTTAAAAATATGGTTATGGGTATGTATAGATTAACCAATGAATGTCACGTCTACACTAACATAAAAAAATAAGGTCAGAGTGTAAAGGTGGGTGGGTTATTATTACACATCAAAATGATGGATGTTTAGACATATCATCCATTGATTCTAAGGAACAATTACCATGGCAAATGTATTATTGTTGTATTGAAATCTGATTTTGCAATTTGTTAAAGCTAACATGAATTTACTAGAAACAGATTTTTTTTTAATTTAAAAAAAAATTTGAATATACTCAGGAAGCTTCCTATAGAGGCCTATAGGTAAAATTAAAAATGTGGAAACAACTATATAAGTTGTTAATTGTACTGAATAGATGGTAAAACATGGCAATATTATAGTTGAATAAATCAAATAAATGTTGAGTGGACTATTATATACTAATAAAATAATAATTATAATATGTACTTATTTATGAAAAAATTATTTAACTATATTTTAAGGTGAAAGGCAGGCAATGGTGGCATAGCACTGTTAATTCATTTCTCTGGTTTAACAGGTTTTTATTTTTAGGAAACTTAATATGCAATTTTTCTTTTAAACATAGGGGACATGGATCATATAAGGATTTACAGGTTCTAGTTATTTTTTAATATTTTCCATTTTACTGTAGGAATTTTGTTAACTTCTTTTAAGTGCCAAAAATATTTCAAAAGGGACATTCTGTTATGATAAACATAGTTGTTGGATGATGATGATACATGTTGGTACCACTGAGTTTTAAAGTATAAAATTGGTTCTCTGTGTCGTGCCAGAAGGTTTTTCTCATCCATCTTACACATCTACAAATCTACCATTCATCCGTGCATTGATTACAGTTGCCATATCTGGTCTGGTACCCCTGCTGTTCATTTCAAGGTTCTAGACAAAATCCAAAGAAAGATCTGCAATGTAATCAATCCTGACCTGGCATCTCGACTTCAGTCACTTTCTCACAGATGTGTTGTGGCTTCTCTCTGTCTTTTCTACAAATATTTTCATGGCAGCTTCTCTGACAAGCTTTTTTCCCTGGTGCCTTGACTACATGAATTTAAACATGCTATTCGATTGGCATCTAGGTCCCACCCTTTTACTGGTGTCATATGCCCTACTCGACGAATAATTTATAACGCAATCATACGCCGATCAGGAGATATATACATTATCACATCTATGGAGAGATACGGGCTATCTCTCCCAGACCATGACAAATGGACAATTAGTAAACAAAAATATTTTAAAGAACACTGTTCGATTGAAATAATCAAACAGTAGTCTTTTCCCAGGTTCGCTTTAGTTTCAACACATATACCGATCCACAATTCAAGGATGAACGATGAGGCATAATAAATTTTGGTATAAGAATTTTAATATATACATATACACAAGATATTACAATAAAAGAAAAATATAAATATGAGTAAAGCATCTGATGACCAGAACCTCAAGACTTATCGTGGGATACCAAAATATGCCCAAATCCAAGTATAAATGAATAACTACAAATGCAGAAATCAACGCATAACCAAAAAAAAAGAGATGGGATAGGATTTATATATTACTATTTTGACATGTGGAAAGATGTTTGTGAGAACATAAAATTTATAGATGCATGTGTATCTTTCTAACACAGGTTCAAAATATATAGTTACTTATCTTTATATTCAGTTCTCTCTCTTACTCATTGTCCTTTCTTTTCTCTCTCACGTTTCCTCTTTTCTTTCTTTCTTTTCTTTACACAAATTCAATTTCAAACACGGTTCAGCTGCAACAGAGATATATACTTTCTTCTTCTCTCTCATGTGTCCTCTTTTCTTTCTTTCAAACACAGGCTGTATTCTCAGTGTGCAAATTTCCTTGTGTCTTCTGTGATAAATAACTCAATTTATCTTCTTCAATCTGGAGGACGAACAGAAATATACATCCTTATATTTCTTATCCGGAGTTGCTTATGATGAATCGGACAAGTTCCATCATTACCAAAATGAGTCTCATCTTTCCATTCATAAGTTATCAGTGCTTCGATTTCGAGTCTTGCTCCTTCAAAGACAAGACAGCAACTGACTTCCAAGTAATTTTTTAATTCCCATGTGTCCTGCATTTTGGCGCGAATTCCAGCTCCTGCTGCTTCACGACCTTACGTCAGTCCCCTGTCTAGATTCTGTCTCGATGTCTGTTGCTACGGGTAATTGGGTCAGTCAACCTCTTGACCTGCTTCCCCCAAAATGACGAGACTCCCACATGACCTCTTCTGTTGTCAAGCGGAGATTAACCTTAATATATGCGTGTATGGGCTATCTGCATTCGTAATACTGTTGAAATAGTTAAATGTAACTGCCACTTCTATTCCAACAGTTTCTTTTCTCACACTTCCCGACAGTGGAACTCCCTTCTTACTTGCTTCCCTGATAACTCCAATCTTCAAAAATTTAAATGCATTGTCAACCACCATCTTCTGTCAACTTCTTTTATCCTCAATTCCCCTATGCCCAGTCTTTCACTCTCTGTAACCACCTGCATGTTAGTGACACTCCCACTTTGCTTGGGGTTAAATGCTTAAAAAAAAATCTAATTGAAAATATTTTGTCTGTTGTTGAAAACTTTTGTAGTTTTAAGAGTTAAGATTGAACTTGATAAATGACTTTACTCTCCCACTATTTAAAGAATTATCTATGACGTGGGTACTGGAATGTTTAAAGATTGATCTAGAAGGTATTCTTTATTTTTGGTCCCCTTTTTTCTTTTTAGCACCCCACTTTGTATATACTAATTTTTAAAAATGACTATTTTTTTGTTTATTTGCTTATATTGTTTTTGTTCATTTTTTTTTTTCTGATATAATGGAATATGCATACACATGAGTTTCCCCTCACTGTAATATGATTGGCTGGTGTCAGTCATAAATACAGATGGACATATAGGTATGACAGAGTGTAAGTCTATGACGACACCCATTGGACTATACCATTGGCTATCCTATTGGTCTACACTTATTACCTGTGACTACAACAAGTACCAGTCGATTACTGCTACCGTGTACTACTTGGTTATAGTAGCCAAAACCACTTAGCTACTTTGATCAAATATATCCCTTTCTGGGACATATCATTTTCCAAATTAAAAACAGAAATAAAAAAAAGTCATTATTAGTAATGTAAAAGATATTTCTTAAAGAAAGAAAAAATAATGTATATATTGGAAAAATTTTAAAATATTATTTTTATTAAGCATATATTTTGTTATTTAAAAGTCATAATTACAACATAATAATAATAATTTTGTTTTTAAATATTTCAGCTCACCATATATTAACCACTTTACTGATACCCAAACTCTCAGAAAGTGATGATCCTCGTGTGGTATGTTCCTTAATCTTTATATATAAATGTGTGTGTGTATGTAAGATGAATCAGCTTGTTTTTTGGGTTTTTTTTTTTCCTTGGTGTCATTTTATCCTAATAAATTGGTTGATTAATTTACATTTTTATTGTACATTGAAATTTTCAATATCTGAATGTAAGTTATCGGAGGTAGTGAATTTTTATAAAACTGTCATATTTTTCAAACAGATATTTAAAAAGAAAACTTTATTTTATTTTATTTTTTTTTTAAAGATGTGCATCTCTCTGTGTGCGTGGGTTTAAACACATCAGTAAAATAGCCAGTTTCAAACCTAACACTCAACCATTCACATTTCTCACTTGTGAACTCCCTTCCAGCTTCTTGCTTTCCATCTTCTGTCTCCTTGAATCCAGTTATTTTATTGTTCTCTCTTATCAATGTTTTTTCTCTGATTCTTTCACTCAATAACCCATTGCATCTTAGTGTCTTTATTGCCTTGCTTGGGGGTGAAATGATTTTTTAAAAAAAAATCTTCTCAAGCATTAATCATTGAAGAAATTCAGTCGATGTGTGAAATGTTAAGTTTGCCATCATTTTATGCTATGTACATGCTAAAAAAAATATTTCAAAGAACTTCTATAAGTCAAGCCTTTTATTTTACTCAAATGAATATAATGTTCTAATCTATTGTTTGTTATAACAAGTAACCTTCTTTGGGAATAAATCCACTATGCTGCTATGTCCTGGGTATGACGATAAACTACATCTGTCGTGGGTAAGATGATAAACTATGCCCAATAGTAAAGGCCTCTGATCAGGAGGTTTTGAGGAGTATGAAACCACCTCTTAATTGCTGGTGTTCCCAGGTCCACCCTGACCCAGGGTGGTAGCACCTGTTAGGTTCCGAGCTATGGGTAAATAGTTAACTCCCAAACTGGAATCAAAACATGTAAGTGTAAAAATAGGTTTTAATACCAGAAATACTTTGTTAAAAAAATAAAAAATTTATTACCAGCAATACATTTTTGGGAAAAAAAAAAAGATATTACTAGCTATACATTTTTGAAGAAAAAATATTACCAGAAATAAAAATTTTGTCATCATTAAATAACCCATTGCGGTGTTGAAATGCCATAAAACAAAACAGATCAAACCACTATGCTGCTATTTATTAAAAGTATCCTGAAAGTTATCAAATGTAGCATTCAGCTAGAGGCTGAAAAGCTGATTTGCCAACATTTTTATTAATGAAAAAAAAAAATGAGGTTACTGATTCAAATGAATGAAAACTTCATTGTCTTTAACTAAATTCTTATTGTTTCTCCTTCCCCTCTATTTAATTTTTTTCATAGGTAATGGTCAGTTCTGGTGGCATGTTGGTACAGAAACTGAATGCAGCAGATCCTCAATGCGACCTGGGAGAATACGACAGCACAATGGCCTATGCGCAGAATAAACGTCAGCAAGTAATTATGATTGAACAATATGCAAGAAAACATCCTAAAATTTATTTTAGCTCAATGCACCCTGGTTGGGCTGATACTCCAGGTAAAGTCAGTTTTCACTCTCATAAAAATAAAAAATATTATCCATCTATGTTATTTGCATTTAGAACCCTAAAAATCTGCTACATTTCTTTCTTTCTTCTTTTTAAATTATTACAATAAACTAATAACACGTCAGTTTTATTTTGACTACAAGGTGTTCTGAAAAGTTCTCAACCTAATCTATTTCTCAAAATCTGATAAAATATCCAAAATTACTTTTGAAATCCTTCTTGATCAGGCTAAGAACTTTGTGAATTTTAGTTACATAAATCAAGTATTATGTAATGAAAATTTCAGATCAAATTTCAGCTTGTTGCTATAGGTCAGGCTTATTGATCCAATTTTGAATTATTTTTATAGGGGTTGAACAAGCTATGCCTGGATTTTACACTAAAATGAAGGACCGACTTCGTACACCTCAGCAAGGAGCTGATACTGCTTTATGGTTGGCAATCTCACAAGCTGCTAAAAAATATGTTAGTGGACAATTCTTTCAAGGTAAGTGTCATTTCCATTTCTATTAAACTTTTTCTTTATTCTTATTCCATATTGCTACAGTTGTATCATAAATTAGCCAAGAACAAAGTTTATATTAAAAACAAGTTGAAAAAAATTGGTGTGTAAAACTTTTGAAACTTGATATTAGTTAATATTAATTTAATCTCTTGAAAATGCCTAATGTAGTTTATGCTGAATCCTCACTGGGAATTAACTTAAGTTAGTTGTTATAAAAATGCTCACAAAAATGTTTAGGAACATTTCTCAAAACAATGCAGGATCACATTAACAGATTTAATTCCCTTTACTTCACAGGACACAATAGTATTTTTAAAATTTATTTCTTTAAAAGAATTCATAATAAATAATTTTTTTTTAAAATTGTCTATTAAAGATTGTTACTTCTATATTGTTACAGTTATCTGTAACTACAGTGTAAATAATGCTTTTTACATTCACTTAAAATACATGGTTCTATAGTTGCAAGTTACTTTAATACCCATGGATCCATTAATGATTCTATTATGATAGAGGAAAATCCTGCCATTCAAAGTTTAAATAGATTTACTACAATTAGTATTTCAGCAAAAAAAATTTTTCCAGAGCCACATATTGCAAAATGCAAGAATTAGAGTAAAGTAAATATTGCGTTAGAGTTTGAAAATTAAGGATTAATAGTATTTTTTTTCACAAAGTATAAACAAAAAGTATACTTTATAGATAGAAAACTTATTTTTGTTTGTATGATAATCATGGTTCTTTAAACATTTGCCACTATAAAATGAAATAATTTGCTGTTTAGAAATTAAATAAAACAGTGATTATAAGGAACTTTTAAATTTCTTATTGTCAACTTTTATTGCATTGTACAGTCTCTTCCTCTTAGATTGATCAAATTTGAAAATTATATCATAACCAGTTTGCTTATTCCTATTTTCTTGACTTCAGATGAAAACTTAGAAATTTTCCAAAATATTTCAGTGAAATTTAAACTTTCCAAAATTATGGTAATAATAATTTTGCTCACAGATGATGAAACCTGCAATTGCAGTTATGTTGTGTGCCAGAGGGTTCTTGATATTTATTTACTGGAAATTTTGGAATAAAATGAACTTACTCAAGGCTATAAAATGAATAATATATTTTTATTTATTTAGAGTGAGTTTTTTGGTATTTGGTGTAACAAAATTTTCTCTTATTTTTCTGATATAATAAATGTAAAAAAATACTGCAGAAATCAATAATATTTTTATACAGTATTCTTAGTGGTGGGCTTATGTACTAAAATGTTGAAGCTTATTTTGACACTCAGATTTATTGTCAGGTTCCGCTTTACAATGATAATATCTAGATTATTTGTTACTTGTGTTGATTATCTTTGCTCGGGAAGTCATGCATATTTTTCTTCTAGGCTACCTCTGTGATAAAAATCTATTAAAAAGTTATTACCAAATTGTAATCTAATTTTTCCACCCAGAAACATTCTGTCAAGAGAAAGAAATTCAATGCTTAAAGAATTTATTCTTGTATTCAATCATTTTTAAACTTAATTTACTTAATACATCTTGGGTCTATTCAACTTACAATAATTCTTATTTCTATGAAAGAAAAGAGAAAATAATGAAATACAGGAATGATTATTAGAATTGATAATATTATTAAAGAAGTATACAAATATGCAATATTCAAAGCAAGGATGAATGGCAGACTTATAAATATGTAAGATAGATTGTGGCAAGAAAATTTGTCTAGCATGTCACAGTGAATCAACTTTCCTAGCAATTGATTCAATATAATATTTCCACTTCATGTCAGCGGATAATGTTAGAATGAGAAGGTGCAAGGAGTCACTCTCCTAGAGGTTAGCATCAGTCATTCTGATGAAAAGCAAAATAAGTTCTCTCAGACAATTAAAAGAGAACAGTTTAATTTTGGAGGCATTAAAATTAACAAGCCATTTATGCCTCAGTTAAACAACAGATTGTAGGTCTTTTTTTTTTTTTTTTTTTTTTTTTTTTTTCAGCTGCCAATTTGACCTTATTGAACTGAACAGACTTACTATTTTGTCTTTAAACAGGATTTCATTTATAACTAAATTGATACTGCAATTATCTTTCTTCTTTTTTTTTTCTCTTTCCTTATTAGACCGGGCACCAACAGCTACTCATTTGCCTCTGGCCAGGACAAAATGCACTCCTGAAGAAGAAGTTGTTTTTATGAACAAGATCGATGACCTTATGCAGAAATTTAGTCAGAAACCCAAGAAAGAGGGTGATGATGCTGCTGAAGGACTTCCAGGACCTGGTGAAGATGCTGAATATGCATCTTCCAGCTCCTCTTCTACACCAAAATACAGTCCTTAAGATAGCATTAACCTGGATTTTCCCTTCAGAAATTAGCAATTCCAAATGATCATCATGCTCTCTTTGTTAGATGGAACTCCATATTAATGTCAATTTATTTCAAAAAATAAATTGTGCTCATCAATGTCTTTTAGAGAACAAGACACCGATGCTGATGCTGCTGAAGATGGCGGTGTTAATGGAAATGAAAAATGTCTTGCAACAGATTGCCTGTTGCAATTGGAAGAGCAATTCCCTACCTTTTTTTTTTTTTTTTTTTTTTTTTTTTTCTTTTTTTTTCTAAGTGGTAAAGAGTGCATGTTTTGTGGATTGGTTGTTGCTGTGATTCTAATGGAGATCATGTGACTAATGTCTTTTGGGTCAGATTAATCTAAAAGATTTTGTGTTAAAGTGCAGAATGATAGATTGTGAATTAACGTGGCTGGGTATGGATTTGTGTGTATGTTTATCTTTTGTAACTTATAAATTCGAAAATGACTTGAAAATAAATAAAATTCTTTGTTAGCATATCCCCAAGATATTACTGGCTAAATCCTTTTTTATTGAAATATCCAAGCTAATGTTTATTTTGTTTTTTTTTTAATTTTTATTATTATTGTTTTTTTTTTTTTTTTTTTATGAAAATATCATGATTAAAGTTTAATTTCTGCTGTTATTAATTATTCTTGCATAGTTAGGATTCCTTTTTATTATATATCAACATTTACATTTTGATATTAACCTTCCTTATTAATCAGTTAAGAAATCTTTGCTTAATCTTTTTGTCTTTAATATTTTTATGTGATGTATTGAATATTGTAGATTTTGAAACATTCAATGACTATCATGTACTTTTCTCTGAAATTTAATTGCTATTTTGTTAGTTACATTTGAAGTGTGCATGCATCAAATATCCATTGTCATTATTTTCACATTTTTAGTGAATCAAAAATTGATTAAACAAAAAAAAGTTAAATTGTATAATATGACAATTGTATTAATGTGGCAAATTATGACATGCTTTTTACAGAAGAAAGAAATTAGTAACTATTTAATTTTTTTTTGTTTTATTTCTTGTATTAAAGAGATTTTATACAATCTAAATGCATAATAATTTTATAAAAATGTTTTCATATTATTTATTATAACTTTAGTGATTTAATATAAAATCGAGACAAATCTATTTTAAATTTAAAATATCTTATAATAAGTATTGATACCATTTTAAATTGATCTTTTGATAGAAAAACCTACAAAATAATAGAAATGTTTTTTCTGTATTTGTTTATAAATTAATCATGGAAACTGGGCATATCATGTTGAAGGGACAAATTATGTCCTTGCGAATAATTGTTCTCTTTTAGCAATAAAACTTCTGTGAAATATTTCATGTAGAATTATTCTATTCAATCTTAAATATAATGAAAGTAATTGTGAATTTCAAATGTTTCTTCTCACATTTTCACATTGATTTTAATAATTCCTTATTCTTTCAGATAATAAAAATAAATAACTACTTTATGCTCTCTGCTTTTTGTGCTAATAAATTTAATGCTAAAAACAAATAGACAAATTTTGGAGCTGTTAGCAAATAAAAGTATACATTTAGGAATATCAAAGATAATTACTCAGGATGTATTAAAAAATCATACAAACTTACAATTTTTAGTATTCTGAAATAATTTTGAGAGCTGCGATTTGAAGGAAAATAAAAGAAAAATATATTCATCTCTACACCTTTTGCTTGTAAACAATTTTCTCTATAAGATTGCGATATTCAAAATTTGATAAACTAATTTTCTTTTTCAATTGACTAAAAATAATATTAATCAAGAATTTTGTTTAAGAATATTATGGGTATTTATTTAAAATTGTAAAGATTTCCAAGATAAGTAGAAAATTAAAAATTAAATTTTCTGAAATCCAGATACTTATATATACTTGCTTGTCATTACTTTATGGTAAACAATATTTAATCTCTATCTATCTATCTATCTATATATCTCTCTCTCTATATATATATATATATATATATATATATATATATATATATATATATATATATATATATATATATAATAAAAGAAAAGATTATACATTTATGTATTGTTGGAAAATTCCTTTTGTAACATCTGAATTTCTTTCTTTTTTATTATTTTCAGGGGAAATTTTAATACTTGTCAGTAGATATCTAATTATTTTCTGGCAATATTTATCAAGTAGATATTCATTAGAATTTTTAAACCCAAAAGACAATATCAAATTTACGCATGCAATAAATTACTTTTATATATTTAAACAAAATAGTAAACCAATGTACAGTCATAAATGCAGGTTGTGTTGATGCATCAGTGGAAAGATGAATATTTTGAAAAACTTTGACTTAGTTAAATAAAGATTTTCCATCCAATTTTAGCCATAAAATTTACAGATTTATTTCAAAAGTATAATTAAAAGTTCCAAATTATCTTAAAATCAATAAAAGTGCCTATATAAATATTTCCCAAATAACAAAAAAAAACAAAAAACAAAAGCCAAAAAACCTAGAGATTAGGCTGTAGAATAGTAACCCCAGTAGTTGTGGATAGGCTAGAATATTGTAAACATTTTAAATATTCTCAGTAGGTTTTAATTGCTGATAATATTGTTTCTAGTTTGATTTGTTTTCAGTCTTTGGTAATTCTACAAATTCTCTCAATCAGATCTGATCCCATTTTTTTCAATACATGTCAAAGGTTCTTTCATTTTATCAAATATTATTCTATTTTCTATTAATAACATACCAGCAACAAAAACATGAAATGAAATATAACATTTCTTAATATTCCATAGCCATTTCCAGTCACAAATTTCTTCATTTTAGATTGTGCCATGGTTATATTTTTGTATTTATGTTCATTCTCTATCCTACAGTTGATGCCATTCTTTATGGCATTGTCGTCTCCAAGTTTGTGATATTATGCTCAAAAACATATATTGTTTTGTTCCTGTTCTTATTCTATTTTGTAAATTTCAGTATCAGTATATTAGTTTTCAATTTATTATTAAATCTTCTAACAGGAATTTCGAACATTTACGCCTCAATATCTTTTGCCTAAAATATTACTATCTGGGATTTCTATAAGACTTGCTTCTTTGCTTATCCTACAGTGACTTGTGTTAAAAAATATATATTTAATTTCTCATTCCTGCAATAATCTCTTTTTGATGTGTAAAACATTAATGCCTGCTTTTTCACTTACTTTTTTTTTTTTTCAAATTACATATTTATACATATCTATATATAAAAATATATCTATATAAACTAACAATTTCAACCAATTTGAATATATTTTTTTATTTTTGATAGTTGTTAATTTGTGGTATTAAAATCATATTAGATGTAAGTTTATATATTTGTTTGGTAAATGCACATGTACACACTCAGTAAAATGTATTTTTTAAATATATATATATATATATATATATATATATATATATATATATATATATATATATATAATATTTATATATCAAGAACAGTTTTGAAAGAAAAGATGTATAACAAATTGGAAAAAGTTTTTGTAACACATTTCACTGGACTGGGTTTGTTGACATTGTTGTAAATACACATGAATGAGAGATGCTGGTCATTTCAAAATTTTACAATTATGTTTCATCATTCTTGGCAAATTTTCTGTTATCACAATATGGGATATTTAATAAAAAAGATGATGGAAAGAAAAACAATATATTTAAATTTAACTAGATTGCAAAAAACCAAAAAAAAGTAACTATTTCAAAAATTATGACATCTCATTCATTTACATGTGTAGTCACAATACCATCAACAAACCCATTCTGATGAAGTCCTAATGGATGAAACGCATCACAAAAACTTTTTTCCAATTTATCATATATCTTTTCTTTCAAAAATATACATATATATAAGTTTTAAACACTTTATTACAACCCACACCATTTCAGTAGAAAAAGGATGAGCAATTAGAATTGTTTTCCATTTCAAATTATTATCTGTAAACTAACTTTTTACTTAAAAATATGCAGTATTATACATTAAACCAGATTTTTTTTAATTCAACCATACATTTTTGTAAATCAATTATCAAATGAAAGTTACTTTGAAGAAATTGATTTAACTACATTTTTGTAATTGAAATCAAACATATGACTTGTAAATTCTGTAATCTGACGACAACATATAGGGGAAAAACAATTTGCAAATAACTTACTTTCATTAATTTGAATAATTTTTCTTCAGGGCTTTTTTTTTTAACATTACCTGTACTTTTCAGGATTTTATTCAAATTCTATCTATATATTAATTGAGATGTTTTAATTTTACTCTACAACCTTTCAAAATATTCTTCAGATTGTAATAAAAATAGTCAGAAATAGAATTTATCCTTTCTTATGTTAGAAGCATGGATTAATATTTTTTGTAAACTGCACTAAAATATACAGTCTCAAAGAATTTTTTTCTTTCAGCAAACATGTTATCTTTTACATGTCAATGCAAACCTGTAAATATTATCAGAAGAGCTAAATGAAATTTATATGTACATTACAATGGAAGTAATTTGTTGTAAGTAAAGAGAAATTGTTGAAAATGAACTTTCAACACAAATTTATACTTATGAAGGTCGTTTTACAATTTGTCCATATAACTAGAAAATATTGCAAGTCTCACAATAAGGTCTTTGCAGTTTTTATTCCAATGCAAGATTTGATTTGAAATTTGCCAAAATGGATTTATGATGGCAATATTAACATTCTTCAGTTTATTGCTGATTGACTTTTGGGGCCAAATTATTCACTTACGAAATCATATCATGTATGTTTTACAATTTTACACTAAAAAGGGCAAACTTGTGCACTCAGTTCATCAGTGTAGGGCTTTGTGCTAAAAATATTTTAGAATTAAAAAACAATTGTATCAGCAGAGCCAATGCTGAAATTCTTTTATATAAAAAAATGTATTTTAGATAGATTTCTTTTTTTAAAGATAATTTTAATCACCA